GCTCACATCTAAGCCATACATCTGATGCAAAAATTAAGAGGTTACTTATGCAGGAAGAGCCCATAACTGTCCCTCACAGCTTGATCTGTAACACAAACATTCACAGCCCAACTGTTTTCCAAGAATCAATAATAAGGATTTGATATCTACAATGTGACTTCTTCCAGCACCTGCAAGGCAGCAGTCATTTCTGATGACTTCATACCAGCCTAGGGAACTGAACAAACCCCAGTTTCACGTTTTCAATAACCAGAGGCAGGGTTCAGATTAGCTGTTAACCTCTCGGGCAGCCACACTTAGCCTGGAATGTCAGCAAAGGGATCCCAGGATTTGAAATCTGAAATGACATCAGTGAAATACTGAGTCATCTCCTCCGGGAGAACCACAGGAGACAGCTCCATGTACATTTGTTTTGGCTGCTACAATCCACAGACTCCCACGCTGTCAAATGACCAAAGGCATTCTCTTACTGTATCTGTCAAGGCACAGATGTTTGTATACAAACCTATTTGCATATAGATGTATTTGCACAATTGTATTACACACCAATAAAAGTCTCAGGAAAATTCATTAGCATTCTCATATTAATGGTATCACGCCCTGAAAGTATTTTCTTAAGAGATAGGACAGGACCACAGCAATTTCACTTCACAACAAAGTGCTTAAACACTACATGACATCTAGGCCTGGGAGAGACAAAAACTAACTCCCACTCCCACTGCCTCCCACTTTGAGGCTAATTGTAAAAGCAGCCATTTCCCTTCCTTGCATAATTTATTCCCTCCAAACAAACATTATTGGTTTTGTCTCAACATACTATGGAAAATCCAGCACTACTTGGTGTTGTCACTGTCAATGAAATACCTAAGCTAACTTCAGATAAACTCAAAAATAAATAAAATTAACATGGCAGAACATGAATTTTACAGATACCTCTGGAGACTACTTAGAGTTTACTAAATCAAAAATGAAATGTTTGTTCCAAAAATATTTTTAATTTAGAAGACTGTCAAGAAACCCACTCAATTTGCTTTTCACTTCTTCCACAGCTGCTTTTATCTAAAAAAAACCAAAAACCACCCCAGACCTTCCATGCTATTCGTGTAGCAGTACGTATTTTGAGTAGCTCACCTCTTGTTTTTGAGGGAGGTGTGCTTTTAAAAGCAGGGAACATTCTTCCTTTCTGTGGTTTCCCAAGATTTCCAATTTCTGAATGAGATTGAGAGATACAGGAGAGGGATTTCTTAGCATTTCATGACTCTCTGGGAAGAGAATATTACTGTCTGGCTTGTCTGGGGTCTAACAATTCACTCGAAGCACTGGTAAGGCTCATCTACCACAGCTCCAGCACATCTGACACAAGATTGTGCTAGTACTACAGCAGCATCTCTCCTTACAAAAACCTACCCAAGCTCCAGACAAACTGCTTTCCCTCTGACAGCTAGAAGAAACCAAGTGCCAAATTCAACACTTAGCAATAGGTGTGTAGCCTCACCGTGCTCAAAGAGCTACAAATTTCCCTGGCAAGATATCAGAGCATAATTCTGTCTAACAATACAAAGAAAGAAAATGATTCAGCCTGCTACCTTCACTATGCTGGTTTTCTTTCTTAGGCTACATCCCCTCTGTGAGTACTTTCAGTGGTTTATGGCTTGGAAGGGTTCCTGGCACTCTTTGCCAAAATGATGTAACAAAGCCATTAAAAAAGCCTCTTCAGAGTAGGTTTCTGCTACATTTTTCTCACCTTAGGCTTACAGCCTTGTCCCAGCTCTGCAAACACTGAGAGATACCAGAATAGCTACAAGGTGTCATTAAACAAGAAAAGAGCTGGAAAGATGAACTTGCAAGCCTGATGCTTCCTCTTGAAAAAATTAGATAAATTAGGTGCACTGCTTAACTTTGCATTTTCAATGAACTCTTCAAATCAACATTTACCTGGAAACTTTCTTCCATCTTTAAGGTTAACTTAACAAAAGTATCAGAAGAGTTTAATTAAAACAAGAGATCTTGAACGTGCTGAGTGTATCTTTTATATGCTTGAAGTATGCATTTATATAATGTAAAGACACAACCACAGAGAGTCATCCAAGGTAGAAGTTAGTACTTTGTTCACCTCTACCTCCATGCTCAATTTCAGTTGACAGGTACATCCAGCAGAAGTTCATCAAGCCACTAATCAATCCCATATTTTGCTTTGCCCAGTCCATAATCCACACAGAACAAGCAGGATCAGTAAAAAGAAAATAAAGTTCCAGCTCCTGTCTTTTGAATGTGCCCAGATTTCTCCTAGCTTAATAAAATCATGAAACACGTCAGAGTTTGAAGAAAAAAAGTTGCATTTTGAAAGAGACACGGAAGGATGAGGTCTTTTTGCAGGCCTTTTAAGGTAAAGGTTACTCACATAACTGCGTCAAAAAAATGCGCTATCATTTGCTGCACAGAACATGTACAACTTCAGGGAAGAATCTCAGAAATGAGAAGGAAAAGATGCTCTATTTTGGGGATATGACTACGTTATCCTCAACCATTCCAGCCTATGGTGAATAAGGCTACTGTGTAGAGTTTACTTTCCCAGATAAAGCAGACCATGTTTGAGTAACCGGTTGCTGATACAATGAGTCACTCACTCATTGCCTCAAGTACCAGCTCGAATGCTTTAAAAGGCAGGATGAGGAATTGCTGAGTACAGGACGTGTAGTTGTTTAGGAACAACATGCTGGAAATAAACCGCTGACTCACCTTGTCACGCAAATGATGCTCTGCAGCCTCAATATTCAAAGGATCGTCAAAATTCAAAAGGTCCTGGAAAAAGAAACAGATCACACTATTGAGTTTCCACTCACTGTTATCATACAAGGGATCCAAAGCCCTAATGAACAACATAATGAAACAAAACAAAACCAGCAAGAGCAGTGCCAAACAAAGTGCTTAAACACTACATGACATCTAGGCCTGGGAGAGACAAAAACTAACTCCCACTCCCACTGCCTCCCACTTTGAGGCTAATTGTAAAAGCAGCCATTTCCCTTCCTTGCATAATTTATTCCCTCCAAACAAACATTATTGGTTTTGTCTCAACATACTATGGAAAATCCAGCACTACTTGGTGTTGTCACTGTCAATGAAATACCTAAGCTAACTTCAGATAAACTCAAAAATAAATAAAATTAACATGGCAGAACATGAATTTTACAGATACCTCTGGAGACTACTTAGAGTTTACTAAATCAAAAATGAAATGTTTGTTCCAAAAATATTTTTAATTTAGAAGACTGTCAAGAAACCCACTCAATTTGCTTTTCACTTCTTCCACAGCTGCTTTTATCTAAAAAAAACCAAAAACCACCCCAGACCTTCCATGCTATTCGTGTAGCAGTACGTATTTTGAGTAGCTCACCTCTTGTTTTTGAGGGAGGTGTGCTTTTAAAAGCAGGGAACATTCTTCCTTTCTGTGGTTTCCCAAGATTTCCAATTTCTGAATGAGATTGAGAGATACAGGAGAGGGATTTCTTAGCATTTCATGACTCTCTGGGAAGAGAATATTACTGTCTGGCTTGTCTGGGGTCTAACAATTCACTCGAAGCACTGGTAAGGCTCATCTACCACAGCTCCAGCACATCTGACACAAGATTGTGCTAGTACTACAGCAGCATCTCTCCTTACAAAAACCTACCCAAGCTCCAGACAAACTGCTTCCCCCTCTGACAGCTAGAAGAAACCAAGTGCCAAATTCAACACTTAGCAATAGGTGTGTAGCCTCACCGTGCTCAAAGAGCTACAAATTTCCCTGGCAAGATATCAGAGCATAATTCTGTCTAACAATACAAAGAAAGAAAATGATTCAGCCTGCTACCTTCACTATGCTGGTTTTCTTTCTTAGGCTACATCCCCTCTGTGAGTACTTTCAGTGGTTTATGGCTTGGAAGGGTTCCTGGCACTCTTTGCCAAAATGATGTAACAAAGCCATTAAAAAAGCCTCTTCAGAGTAGGTTTCTGCTACATTTTTCTCACCTTAGGCTTACAGCCTTGTCCCAGCTCTGCAAACACTGAGAGATACCAGAATAGCTACAAGGTGTCATTAAACAAGAAAAGAGCTGGAAAGATGAACTTGCAAGCCTGATGCTTCCTCTTGAAAAAATTAGATAAATTAGGTGCACTGCTTAACTTTGCATTTTCAATGAACTCTTCAAATCAACATTTACCTGGAAACTTTCTTCCATCTTTAAGGTTAACTTAACAAAAGTATCAGAAGAGTTTAATTAAAACAAGAGATCTTGAACGTGCTGAGTGTATCTTTTATATGCTTGAAGTATGCATTTATATAATGTAAAGACACAACCACAGAGAGTCATCCAAGGTAGAAGTTAGTACTTTGTTCACCTCTACCTCCATGCTCAATTTCAGTTGACAGGTACATCCAGCAGAAGTTCATCAAGCCACTAATCAATCCCATATTTTGCTTTGCCCAGTCCATAATCCACACAGAACAAGCAGGATCAGTAAAAAGAAAATAAAGTTCCAGCTCCTGTCTTTTGAATGTGCCCAGATTTCTCCTAGCTTAATAAAATCATGAAACACGTCAGAGTTTGAAGAAAAAAAGTTGCATTTTGAAAGAGACACGGAAGGATGAGGTCTTTTTGCAGGCCTTTTAAGGTAAAGGTTACTCACATAACTGCGTCAAAAAAATGCGCTATCATTTGCTGCACAGAACATGTACAACTTCAGGGAAAAATCTCAGAAATGAGAAGGAAAAGATGCTCTATTTTGGGGATATGACTACATTATCCTCAACCATTCTATGGTGAATAACCTACCGTGTAGAGTTTACTTTCCCAGATAAAGCACACCACGTTTGAGTAACCGGTTGCTGATACAATGAGTCACTCACTCATTGCCTCAAGTACCAGCTCGAATGCTTTAAAAGGCAGGATGAGGAATTGCTGAGTACAGGACGTGTAGTTGTTTAGGAACAACATGCTGGAAATAAACCGCTGACTCACCTTGTCACGCAAATGATGCTCTGCAGCCTCAATATTCAAAGGATCGTCAAAATTCAAAAGGTCCTGGAAAAAGAAACAGATCACACTATTGAGTTTCCACTCACTGTTATCATACAAGGGATCCAAAGCCCTAATGAACAACATAATGAAACAAAACAAAACCAGCAAGAGCAGTGCCATTTTCTCACAGAGTTTCCACTCACTGCTATCATACAAGGCATCCAAAGCCCTAACGAACAAGATGATGAAACAAAGAAAACCAGCAAGAGCAGTGCCATTTTCTCACCACCTTGATAGGTATTATCTGCCAAAGGTAGATGCAAATGAGTTTGATGATTGCACACCAAATCATAAATCAAGCAAAGGACAGCAGCAGCAAGGCACCCAACCCCTTCTCGTGGCACTCCACACAGCCCCATGACACACCTCTCTGGCAGTGATGCATTGCTATTTGAAAACCCAGACAGTTTTAAATCAAATTTTGAAGGAACATTCAAAGTTCCTTCATTGGAGGAGGCACCTGCCAATGGCCTGGTGATAAAGCAGGAAGAGTTTCCTTAATACCATCTCCAATAGCCAAGCAGTCTTGTTCCCTCTGAGAAGACACTACGTAAGAAACATGTAGACATGGCTCTTCAGGGCATGCTCTAGTGCCCAAGATTATTGGTTTGTGGTGGGATGTTGTGTGGGTGGGTGATGGTTTTGGTTTGGTTGTTGTTGTTGTGTGTTTAGGTGGTGGGTGGTGGTTATTTGTTTGGTTGGTTTTTTTTGGTTTTGGTTTGGGTTTTTGTTTTGTTCTGTTTTTTTGTTTTTTTGTGGTTGGACTTGATGATCTCTGAGGTCCCTTCCAACCACCACGATTCTGGGATTCTGTAACCTGGAGCCTGACAGACAGGAAGGTTTTAGTGCAATGGGAAAAACAGGGCCCAGAGAAAAAGGAGTGCAAAGACCCCAAAAGCAAAAGGGCACACAGGAGCAGGGAGGGGAAATTGTCAAAAGACATCTCAGGTCTGTCAGTTTAATCTCAATAAATATTAACTTTGGAAAGAGAAAGGGTCTAACGTTAAAACCAAGATGCTGATAAAAGGGGAATCATCATAAGAAAATAACAGTGAATCACAAACCCCCCTACTCTGCCTGCAGCCCAGATCATCCCCAGCCTGTGACAGCAGTGAAATACTAACATTTCTCACGTGTGAAAGGCTCATGTCACTCTGACTTAGAAGCAGGGAGGGGAAATTTTCAAAACAAATCTCAGGTCTGTCAGTTTAACCTCAATAAATATTAACTTTGGAAAGAGAAAGGGTCTAACGTTAAAACCAAGATGCTGATAAAAGGGGAATCATCATAAGAAAATAACAGTGAATCACAAACCCCCCTACTCTGCCTGCAGCCCAGATCACTTTCCCCACCCTGTGACAGCAGTGAAATACTATCATTTCTCAAGTGTGAAAGGCTCACGTCCCTCTGACTTGTTTTCAAGCAGAAAACCTCCCATTTCACTCAAACCAGGACACCAAAAACCACCTCATTTTCACTTACTTTCTTCAAGAAAACCTCCAAAGAATCTGCAAGGCCTGTACAATCCAATGCCAGCTTTCCAAAGCCTAATTATTTCTAAGAAGCTGGGTGGGAGGGAAATCTAAAAGGCAAGCAGGGAAGCACTGCTCTTACTGGCCATGACAAATCCCTGCAGTCTCCAAGGCATGACCATCACTCTTTGCAGCTGTTTGCCCAACAGACTATTTCTACATGCAGTTCTGCCTCTGAAGGCACTTCTCTGGACCTCCAGTGGTTCTCACTTTCTTCCAGTTACTTGGCACACGGTGGGAGACTAACTGTGAAATGCAATGGCTGTGGAAGGAGAACATAATCCTGGACTCCCCAAAAAAAGGCAGCTGTTTTACAGTAAAGACTTAGCCTCTCTCTGCTTTTAGGGCAAAAGCAGCTGTTGCATCCTGCCTGCCTCTTGCAGCTTCCTGCCCTCTCTTCCATTTTCAAGTTGCTCCTGTAATTACAAGGCACAGGTTTCTTGCTCCTGCCCATCTAAGGAAAAGGAAGAAAATGGGATCCCTGAACAAAATCGTATCCCTGAACAAAACTGTATCATTTCTCTAACAAGTCAGGTTTATGCAAAAATGCAGGTGGGTACACTGAGGCCCTTGAACAGGAATGTAAGTGTTCAAAACAGGAATGAAACTGCAGGGTAGTCGTTAATTCCTAAACATTTTCAAAAAAACATAACACCAACACAATTCCTTCTCAGAGCAACATGAATTTCTATTTCTTGCAAAGTAGCAGAAGGAATTTCATACTGTTTGGAAGATCCTAAGTAACTTGTTACCAATTTATCCCTAGTAGATTCAGAACCAAAAGTAAAAACCATGTATGAAAAAGCTTGCATATCAGACCTTCTGTATGAGTCTTGCAGTTACACAAACAAAAACACAAACTGATTTCATACTTGGACAACACCCACTGAAGGCAAAGCAAATAATAGTCTTAAGTTTAAGAGGCAACAGATGAGGTTCACAGTAGCTGATGCTAAAACCAAACTAGGCAGGAAAAAGGGAAAGTGGATATGCAAAATATTCATTTACTCTGTATCGTTTCTCTAACAAGTCGGGGTTTATGCAAAAATGTAGGTGGGTACACTGAGGCCCTTGAACAGGAATGTAAGTGTTCAAAACAGGAATGAAACTGCAGGGTAGTCGTTAATTCCTAAACATTTTCAAAAAAACATAACACCAACACAATTCCTTCTCAGAGCAACATGAATTTCTATTTCTTGCAAAGTAGCAGAAGGAATTTCATACTGTTTGGAAGATCCTAAGTAACTTGTTACCAATTTATCCCTAGTAGATTCAGAACCAAAAGTAAAAACCATGTATGAAAAAGCTTGCATATCAGACCTTCTGTATGAGTCTTGCAGTTACACAAACAAAAACACAAACTGATTTCATACTTGGACAACACCCACTGAAGGCAAAGCAAATAATAGTCTTAAGTTTAAGAGGCAACAGATGAGGTTCACAGTAGCTGATGCTAAAACCAAACTAGGCAGGAAAAAGGAAAAGTGGATATGCAAAATATTCATTTACTTACAGTAAATAAAGAGTTTAACCCCCAGACAACATCCTGCAAAGGAAAAGCATAGTCAGTTAGGCATACATTTCAGGTGCATTTCATGTTCACATAATTTATTTATCTAGTAATCCGTGAAATTACTGGAAATCAAATCTAGATAAAGAGTGATGTTTTGCTAATTTAAATCAAAATATCAAAAAAGCTTTCCCATTTCATGGATGCTTGATATCGAGAAGTCATCAAAAAATAAATACTGGATATTCAAATACAAGCTCAGATCTTTCTGTCCGTATAGCAGACTTGTTCCTGTTGCTTCTCTGCTTAAGGAGAGAAATAATACCTTAGTATATGCCACCAACTGACTACACTGCTTAGTTCTAAGGGTGGGGATAAAACTTAATTCAGCAATCCATCCTTAAAATTAGAAAATTAAGACGGTGTCAAGCAAGGATTTGAAATCGTTTCAAAATATTAGAGAAAGAGATTTAGGTGTGGTACGAGCACGGAGAAGTATCACTCTTGTATGAGCATGTGTCTCAAATCTCTGCTCAATCTCAAATCCTCCCTTTAGGTCCCTATTTAAACACAGCTGACTGGAGATGGTTTGCAATTTGTGCAAACAGGAAGCTTCAGGGGATCCGCCTCCAAATGCTACCACCAAACACAGCTTTTTTTGGGGTGGGCATCCCCAAAAGGGTTCCACTAGCACTGACATAAGAGCCCACATCCTCAGTTCCAACCTTCAGAGAGTAAGATGATGCACAAGATCCAAATATTACAAAAAGAGACTTAAAAGCATCACCTCCCACCAACTCTGGGCCAAGCTTTCTACCTAGAATATTTTCTTCAGCAGCAGCATAACTAAGCTGCCCGAATGCAAAATCCCACTCAAGTCTGGGCACTGGAGCTCACACCTACCAGACACTTAATTAACATCATCATTACACCTCCTGCCCTTACAGCCTGCAAGCACTTGACTGCCCACCCAAGAAAAATCACGCTGCCTGATTTCCAGTAGCGGGACAAACACTGCACATTAATTGTTTCAAGGCTAAAATGTATACTGCAAAATCCCACTCTCAAGTCTGGGCACTGGAGCTCACACCTACCAGACACTTAATTAACATCATCATTACACCCTCCCTTTAGGTCCCTATTTAAACACAGCTGACTGGAGATGGTTTGCAATTTGTGCAAACAGGAAGCTTCAGGGGATCTGCCTCCAAATGCTACCACCAAACACAGCTTTTTTTGGGGTGGGCATCCCCAAAAGGGTTCCACTAGCACTGACATAAGAGCCCACATCCTCAGTTCCAACCTTCAGAGAGTAAGATGATGCACAAGATCCAAATATTACAAAAAGAGACTTAAAAGCATCACCTCCCACCAACTCTGGGGCAAGCTTTCTACCTAGAATATTTTCTTCAGCAGCAGCATAACTAAGCTGCCCGAATGCAAAATCCCACTCAAGTCTGGGCACTGGAGCTCACACCTACCAGACACTTAATTAACATCATCATTACCCCTCCTGCCCTTACAGCCTGCAAGCACTTGACTGCCCACCCAAGAAAAATCACGCTGCCTGATTTCCAGTAGCGGGACAAACACTGCACATTAATTGTTTCAAGGCTAAAATGTACCTTTCACAATAAAGATAAAGCCTCAAAGTAAAAACTTCCTATCCACAGCAAAGACTGAGCATATTTCAGTTTGTTTCCTGTTCCGAGCCCTCTGGCGACTGTGGTGGACCACAGAAATCTGTATCACTTTAGAATGCTGTCCAATTATGCCCTAATGAAAAAGACAAGGTGTCAGCATTATCTGGGCAACAGCCTCTCACAATCCAGCTTTGCTTTGATCTTGAACAACCTACCTACTCAGTTTATCTGCTTTTAATAACGTGAAGCTGCCCAGGGAAGCTGATACTGTCAGACAGTGTTTTTTCAGTTTCAGCATCTTCTCCTAATGGAGCTTCTCAATTCATCCAGGGGGGCAAAGACAGTAACTCTTTTAAAAAAATTTACTCCTCACCTTCAATGACAACACAGACATAAACTGCAAAAAGGGACATACCAGAGACACCTAAGAATTATATTTATCCGTATATTTTAAGGAAATAGTGCTGAGCAGTCATTGCCACTCCCAAAGGACCACACTGTCAGCTCCTTCGCAAGAACGAGAAAAATGGACGATTTCAAATAATCACAGAATCACAGAATCTTCTAGGTTGGAAGGGACCTTAAAGATCATCTTGGCCAACCGTCAACCTAACTGACAAAAATAGACACCCACACAACAAACAAGGAGCATCATCACTAAATCATACCTCCCAGCACTACATCAACCCCTCTTTTGAACACCTCCAGGGATGGTGCCTCAACCACCTCCCTGGGCAGCCCATTCCAATGGCTGAGAACCCTTTCAGTGAAAAAATTTTTCCTAATATCCAGCCTGAACCTCCCCTGGCACAACTTGAGGCCATTTCCTCTTGTCCTGTCGCCTGTGACTTGGGAGAAGAGACCGCCCCCCACCTCTCTACACCCTCCTTTCAGGGAGTTGTAGAGAGCAATAAGGTCTCCCCTCGGCCTCCTCTTCTCCAGGCTGTATGGATGAAAGCCATCATTTTATCCTTTTTTTTTTTCAGTTTTGTGAACTACAACTACTGTCACAGAAACAGGGCACAGCAGAGGTCAACAAAACCTGGAGACCTGTATTAAGCAATCCCAGGGACAAACTATTTCTGAAGTGCGGTGGAGCTAGAGAAAAAATAAGCCAAAGTCGCTGAATAAAGGAGGATTTCAGTGGTGTGGAGAGCCTGGAGAGCAGGAACAGGCCTGAAGGTCTCAACCTCCACTTCACTCTCCTGAATTCAGTGTCCCTGGTGTCACCTGCTCGGCTCGGGTGCCCCTATGGATGCTGTCCCTGGCGTGGACACAGCCCGAGGACTGACTGATGCCGAGTGTGTGACCAGGGACAGCTGAGAGTCCCTCTGTCTCCAGCCACCCACGCTGCCCCAGCAGATGCTCTGACCTCCTGAAGGTCAGGAGCCCCTTCCACTGCTGCCCTCAAAGGCTGTATTGTCCTTCAGGGAGGCTGAGTGAATGTCTCGTGGGCGTTAAGAATTTCTTGCGTCTGATTTTAACCCGCTGTGTATTTCCCACAGCCTTTGATAATGGGACCTTACCAAAGCGTGGTAATTTGCTCTATTCCACTTGAAGAAGCAGGAATAAAATAACTTTTTAAGGGTTGTCTTTCATCTACACCAAGTGAGAGCAGACTGTAGCTGCAGAATTCCAATACTGAATTCCAATATTATCTTCCCATTCCATAATCACCCCCTTTTGAAGTTTACCTACACTGCTCCCCCATTCTCATTTGCTGAGCCCTGCTTTCAAGACTTTGAGACACTTCACTCATCATTCAATCCAAGCTGGCTTTGCACAGAATTCTATAAAAAAAAAACAACAACAACAACAACAAACACACCAAACCACAAAAACCCAGCAAAAACCTCTGTAAGGCTGTGAGTTTTCAGGGCGCTGTACATTGTCACAGCCATTCTAGTCAACAAAAAGCGTAAAAGGAAAATTGTTATTATTACTGAATAACTTATGTGTGAAATTCTTAATATAATTTCAGCTCCGTTTCTACCTATTCAAGTTTTATGATTTGCTGGATTTGTTTTATACCCTTGTACGGCTTCAGAAAAAAAATAATGCTGAATTACTACCAGAGGGCAACACTTTTTTGTAATGAGTTTTTGAGGCCGGCCTGGATTTAAATCTATCATATTGAGCAAGGGAAGTGGGACGGAACAGATGAGCAAGAGTGAAGCAAGTATTTCACGTTTGGAAAGCTTGACACTGTTGCATTGCAAAAATAATCACTTTGCATTATTGACTTGAGCAGAGCTGCTTGCTGCATGCTGATAAGCCCTTGCCTGAGCACTTGCTTTGCATTTTCCTGCCAAACTAAAAGGATATGCAAGCCACGAAGAACAGACCCTGTCAGATTTAACAGTTCAAAAACTTCAGTTTTCTTTTAACGTAATAAAAGCATCATCCTTGGCTTCAAACATTTAGTGAACTTCTGGCTTAAGTACTCGGAAAGCAGAAAGTCAACCCTACGTGCAAGAATTTTTAAGGGTTCTCTTCACACATAGGAGAAGGGCAGATGTCACTTTACAATGTTAATAACACACACCTTTATGCTGCTCCACTTTGATGAGAGAATCTGCTTGCAGCAGGGATCTGTCTGTTCACTTGGCAAATACCTGACAAGCCCACTTCCTTTACAATGCTGCTTTTTGTCTATTTTCCTCTACATGCTTAACATCAGTCACAGGGTACAAGTACAATCACTACTGAGGGGTAACCTCAGAGCAAAACTGAGGACCCCTTGCACTTTTCCTAATGAAGCACCACGTTCTGCTTGGGGTGGACCCTGCAGAACTCTCCAGACCTCTTTAACTGGTTTCTGCTCCAGCTATGCCCAGGGAGGCCCTCTCTCTGTTGCCCTGGTCTCCTGGTGGCTTTGCATCAGCGCAGACATCACCCATGAGGTTAGATGCCTTTGCAGGTTTTTAACGTTTAGTTCCACTCCACTATGTTAGTTCAGAAGATTCAAGTATCACACTTGAACTAAAGAGCAGTACCCTGTTAAATCCATAGTGGAGAGTGGATAATGAAGGAAATCACTCTGCTCCTCAGCACTATCACTATTTTGAGCTCAAGCATGGGGAAGCCAACACAAGCAAGTCGGAAGATCAACAGACTGTTATAAATATCCCTTTATAATCAGCCCTTTTCAATCTCGAGCATTTTTGTGTTGCATTTGAGTGAAAAGTTACATTAAACCCCTGCCCACAGATTTATTTATGGCATGCCAAATGAGGAAAAACATCTGCCACGGCAGCAATGTTTAAAGTTCAAGAGCAATGAATCAAAATACTAAATGCAGCTTTTTGAAATAGTCTCTCCTGAAGCTAGAGAGTCTCAAAGCACTGTGTTTCAAGGAGGTCCTAATTCAGTTAGTCACCAAATCTTCCCAAG